GTTTTCACCAAGTTTATTTGCAATATCGGAAGTATTTGTCAATAATTCATTCCCATTTTTTAGATGGCGAATGTTAGATTTAGAACCCTTACCTTTGATTCGTTGGATCATGTTCCATACTTTTGACATTGGCGTACGTGGGTTTATTTTTTAAACGTAACTCTGTTTAAACGTTCGCCGAGCTTTAGCATTTAAAAATTTAATTTGATTATGAACCATAGGATGGCGACGGAAATAATGCTCTGCCTTTTTCCGAGCCTTCCGACTTTGTTTGCAGGTAGAATTAAACTATGGTTTACGTATGTGTGGAATTGTAGAGGACTTAAAGATACATGTATCAGCTATTTTGTTTAGTTCATCAGAGAACAGTTGTACAGGATCAGGGACATCGGTAAACAGGTCAGGTTTTAACTTGTTGGACGAAAGTATTTTAAACAAAGTCCAGTTGGCTTTGGTGAAGTTCCATCTTGACGATGTAGGAACATCAGATGGAGGAACAGGTTTAAGAATTGTTGGAAAATGGTCACTTCCACACAGGTCGTCATGGACTGACCATTCAAACTCATTCAATAGATCAGAATCCACAATTGACAAATCCAGGGGAGAGTATGTACCTGTACCAGGATGTAAATAAGTGTTGGAATTATCATTAGAAAGACATAAATTGTTGTTGGAAATAAAATCTTCCAGGACTTTACCTTTATTGTAAAATGTGCACTCCCCCATAGAGGGTTCAGTCCATTCAAATCACCCACAATGATGCAAGGCTTAGGTAGCTGGTCATAGAAGGCCTGGAGATCAACAAGCTGAAGAGATGAATTCGGAGGGACATAGGCAGAGCACAAAGTAAACACAATGTGCAAGGTCACACGGACAGCAACAGCTTGTAGTGGAGTAATCAGTGGAACAGGGCTGTGGATCACTCCCTGCTTCACAAAGATTGAAGACCCTCCAGTGGCTTTTGGCCCTGGAGGAGAAAATAAATGATATGAAGTATATTGTCTGATGTCAAGTTGATCTGTATCCTTAAAATAGATCTCCTGTAAACAAAATGCTGACGGTTGAAAATCCTGTATCAATAACTGTAAGTCATTAAAATTATTATTTAGTCCTCCACACTTCCACTGAATAATAGTATTTGAGCTGTTCATGGTGGCTCAATGGGAGATCGTGAGCCGGACAGGGGTCCACTCCCCTGGACTGGGAGTGAAGGACTGAACTCCATCTGCAAAGGTATAAACTGATTATGAACCTCCACAGGTAGAGTAGAAGGCACCTCCAAATGCTGGAGGGCCCTGGCCTTTTTTTTCAATTGCTTCTCTTTTTTTTCAGACATGTGGGCTTCCCCTGTACTGATTCACTTACAATTTCCGGTTCAGATGACTGATCTACTGAAGGCTCTGGTGAAAGAATGTCTGTCTGTGAGGCTTGCAGAGAAGGAACAAACTGGGTATGGTGATCCAGGATGTGCTGTTCATCTACCCAAGATATCGAAGTTTGACACGATGTCGATGACATGGTAGGTCTGGCAACAAGTGCTGGGGAGGAAACTGCAGCTGAGTACGTAACAGTTGAAATATTTGGAGCAGGAACCAACTTTTTTGCTTCAATATAAGATATGTTGTTTGTGTGTTTTATTTTCTGAAATTTAGTTTCACGTTCATATCTAGGACAGGACTTGGATGAGGCCAAGTGTTCTCCGTTGCAGTTAGCACACTTGATGGTATTGGTGCACTCAGGGCCCTCGTGAGCTCCACCACAACGGGAATACGCCGTGTTGTTACGGCAAAACTTGGCCCCATGACCAAACTGTTGACATTTGAAGCATCGGAGTGGATTTGGTACGTATACCTCCACTCCAATGTTGAAGTATCCAGCTTTTAAACTCTTTGGAATAGAAGAAAGAGCAAATGTAAATAGGTATGTATTCAGTTTTATAATAGTACCATCATCGTTCTTTTTGGTGAATCGCTTCACAGCAGTAACACCTTGAGTTTGCAGCTCAGCTGCAGTTTCCTCCTCACTTATGTCATGAAGGCAGCGAGCCCTGTCTCTGACAATGCCTCTGCAGGAGTTCAGTGTCTTGTGCACTGAGACAACAACTGGTGTAATCACAAACTGTTTTAATTTCAAGAGATTGTCAGATTGTTGTCTCCGTGCACATTCCACTAAGAGTGCACCGCTTCGGAGACGTGTTACGTTTTTTACCTCTCCACAGACACCTTTAATGCCCAAGGAGATAGAAAATGGGTTTAGTTTCAAAAGATGAAATCACAACGAACCGTGGCCACGAGTGAACAATTTCAGACTAGGCTTCATCGGATGATAAAGACTCAACATGTCTACGCTTATTCTTTGATGAACCAGATAGAAGTGGAAGAGCCATGGTAAAAGTAAAGGTTTCGACATCTCTGCTCCCTACCCGCCATGGAGTGTCAACCCGCCTGCACCACCAGGGCTACAGGGATGTTATACTCCAGCAAATAGAAACTTGAATAGCTATGAAATCTGAAAGAAGAAATGCCAGGCTGGTTCGCCCATGACACCTTTCTGGAGAAACACAGAATTCAGAGGTTTATAATGCCAGATTGGCCCATGAGCCACCGCCTTCTGCCATAGGACTCTAGGCACAATTGAAATTCACATAATTCATTTGGTTATAAAATATTCTGATCAAACATAGTTTAATATATGTCGAAATGTGGAAGTATTCCATGCTCAGGGCATGGCGTGACCAGCCGATTGATAGAATCGGGTCCATTCTACCACCCGTCTAGGTGAAGTAAGGGTCGAAGTGGTGTGTTGGGCAAAGGAACATTGTTCCTGGCTCCAGTGCCCTCAACCACCAGAATCCCGTCCTCCACCGACACAGGGGTGCAACCCATGGCAAATAGGTTGCCCAATTCGGTTGTCTTTTACGACCAGCAATGGGGTGCTGTGGACAAATTCTACCCCGAGTCCACACGGGGGAAGAGCTATTAGCGTTACCCAGCACTCACCACGAGGAGGTTGCTCTTCACGAGTGCCTCCTCCCACATTAAGCTGACACGCCGTGATATAACTGGAATACTGTTACAGCGGCGTTAAACCCAACTCACTCACTCACTCACTCCTCGGCTTTTAATGGCTGAACAGAAAAATGTAACCGGACATCAGTTGGGCTTATTGAGTAACTAAAAACAGAACTTCCTATATGCACTGCGTTGACAAACATGGTCATCGCGTGAGGAAAATAATTGTAATTCGTTTTTATAGCAATCGTTCTTCATTCAGGGAGTGAGTGTGTTGAGTTAGTTTAACCGTTAGTTTAACGATGCTCGGGGGAGGGGAGCTAACTAACCTCAGGATTTCGTCACTCGCCAATTACATTTATTCAAGAATTTGGTACTGAAAAAAGAAAACAATCAGGATAAATTTAGACTGATCCAAGAATTCTTCTGATTGAACATAATATAAATATTCACAATTTGAATTTGACGATCTCGATCGCATCTCCGTGGTACACCATCCCTGGTGCACACACACACACACACACACACACACACACACACACACACACACACGTGCTTGCAGGTCGCGACCTTAAATAAACCCCATTTCACCTCACCGATAACAAAAAAATTAGAGGTGTGACACAAACCATAATGAATTGCCTTCCAAAGCCTCCAGGGCAATGGGATGGAATTTATCAGCTACATTGTGTTAATTACACATTGAACGCTCGTTGGTTTCCAATTCTGCACACCATCAAACGTAACGAAATGTCGCTTCAACATTTGTCAGCTGATTTGGGGGAATTTCAAACAATAATTTATTTATCTCAATTGTTCAGACCCGTGACGATCCGGGGTAGAATAGGTCTTCAGCAACCCATGCTTGCCGTAAAAGGCGACTATGCTTGTCGTAAGAGGCGACTAACGGGATCAGGTAGTCAGGCTCGCTGACTTGGTTGATACATGTCATCGTATCCCAATTGCGTGGATCGATGCTCATGATGTCAATCATTGGATTGCCTGGTCCAGACGCGATTTTTTTACAGGCTGCCGTCATATACATGTAGCTGGAATATTGCTGAGTGCGGCGTTAAACAAAAAACAAACAAAAGCATACATATTTTGTCGGAAATAGAAGTACACAGTCTAATTAGTATAGGGGCGGTCGGGTAGCCTAGTGGTTAAAGCGTTCGTTCGTCACGCCGAAGACGCGGGTTCGATTCCCGACATGGGTACAATGTGTCAAGCCCATTTCTGGTGTCCCCCGCCGTGATATTGCTGGAATATTGCTAAAAGCGGCGTAAAACCATACTCAGTCAGTCAGTCTAATTAGTATATGTTTTGATATATTTTCCAATGGTGTACTTTAATAATGTTTTTGATCTTGTGTGTTTATGCTTCCCTGTTGTTTTGCTTTATCATTCATAGTGCGTTTTGAAAACATTTCTTGTCCCTTTCAACACAATACAAATGTAGCATAATTCCCTACTTATGTGTTCAATGTCACTCACTTTTTGTGGTTCTACCCTTATTTCCTGTACGTCTCTTGTCACCTAGCTACTAGTAAAAATATTTGATCATTCACATGGTGAATGGGCATGAAGTAGCCTCGAAGTGTTGTGTATAAAGAATTATATATAATCTCCATCTTGTATTCTAAACATCAGGACCCCTTACACGAAATTAAATCTGATTAACTATGTTATAAGTTGTCCAGTCCTGCCCAAGTAGTAACGTTCTAAAAAAAATAGTATTAGTGAAAAGAGTCATTCAAGTAAAGAATTCCTCTCCAGTAAAGGTCTGAGATTTGTTCCTTATAGAAAGGGACGTAATTTGTGGGATGAAATTCACAGTAACATTTAGTAAGACGAGGGACTCCTTGGGTTATTTATAGTTTTAAACTTGAACCTGTTTGGTATGCCAAATGGTCTAAATTTAGAAGTGCAGCACACATGCAACACTCTCAGCCGTGGGACAATCATAAAGCCCACTGCGCTCCAGTGTGAATCGGACTGTGGAAAGGAACGGGAACGAAAGCAGTTACATGTAGTTTGTGATTGCAGTGGATACACTTTTCCGCTCAGATGTGACAACGGATGTTACTTAATTCTCACATGAGAACCTGGTAAGTGAAATATAAATATCCATCACTGTATACACTGAACATAATTACTTAAAGTTTAGAACAGTGACATTACAGGTCGTTACCATGAACTGCTAATTATTAAGCAACTACAGTTTTTGGGTCTATTTCTAAAACCGAAGATAGGATGGATCATGTTCTTCCCGAATTTTAGTTTTAATTTCTGCTTACATTCAAAATTTTAAGAGAACACGAGTATTTATGCTAGGTGAATGCGCCCATGGATGAAATCAGTCTCAACAAGTTCATATACGCATACGTACGTCCGGAAAGAGGGTTTGCTTGTTTGTTGTGTAACGCCGCACTCAGCTATTGCAGCTATATGACGGTGGTCTGTAAAGAAAATGAGTCTGGACCAGAAAATTCCGTGATTGAGTGAGTGAGTGATTTGGGTTTAACGCCGCTTTAAATAGTATTCCAGTTATATCACGGCGTGTCAGCTTAATGTGGGAGGAAAGCCCGAAGTGATGCAAGTCTCTGACGTTTATAACTTCGGTGAAACCCACGAGCACGTGTATAGTGCTGATAGACCTAGAAACATAATCGGGGCGAACCTGCTTTCGAACCCACAAATATGATGTTTAATGTCAAAATGTATGCATGAGAAATATTTGTCAGAGGTCGTGACCTAGCATGAACGTTCCACAGCTCCATATCTTAAACGTAGGTCGCGATTTCCTCCTTTAAACGTCCAAAATAACAATATTTAACCAAATACGTTCTCCTAAATCTGAAATATATCCTAAACGAGGGTGGAATCCATTGCTGTAATATGATTGGATTACTTAGGTCACCTGCTTGATCTTGACCAATGACGATCCTTATATTAGATAAGTGCAAAAGCATCATAATTAAGCTATTTCCAGTCGATAAAATCGATAGTTACAACTACGTAAATGGGCGAGGTTATAGTAATACCATTGCTGTTCAGAGCTTTCTAACGATACCAAACGTTCGAACGTGCTTTTTACAGAAGCTTCGAAAACGGTGGTATTTCCCGTTATTTTCCCATGTTACTGAGTGGAAAGCCACTATTAATATATGTGATGATAGAATGTATTTAAAATTATTTTTATCATCATTTTATGATTACTTTAACAATGAAAAAGAAATGAGTAAGTGGATAGCTCCAACTGCATCAACCAAGTCCTCTAGTTGGACCACCCAATCCAATTAGTCGCCTCTTATGGCACACATAGTCAACTTTTACGCCAGGCATCGGTTGCTGAAGACATATTCTATCCCAAATTCATTATTCAATAATTTTTTAAATTGAAGTTTACACGATATACGGCTTTTCCATTGGACGAGAGAGCGGTCACATGACCGCGAAATTGACGTTCATAAGTGTATGAACGACACAATTTGACGTTCATACGTTTTTCACGAGACCGTGTTCTTGAAATGACGTAAACACTGACGGACTACTTCCACATTCCTGGGGAAACCCCAGGGAATTCCCTAGCACGAAAACACACAGAAGCGTTCTTTCTGATCATTTAGAACCTTTATTCTTGGTCTCAGCGTTTCAGTATACATTGAGAAATGTCAGAGAGCGTGACTGCATGACTGTTCACGAATATCCTTTCTACGGCCCATCCTAATGAACAAACGAAGAAATGCACATCCAAACTATCGTCAGTATCGACTCGATCTGTGTCTAGGCTGACATTGACCGTCTCCAGCAATCTATGAATTTACCTTTGTGTCTGTTGGACGCATCTTTATTCACCTTTCAATGATCGGCCAGGTTCATTCGGAAATCTCTCCCGTCACGTTTATCGTGTCGGCCATTTTGACGTCTTGTACTTGACGTAAATGTATTACAACGCGCTGTCATTGTGACTGACTTACTGAGGTAGTTCTTTACAGACCTTTCTCATCTAAAGAGGAAATGAGGAACTATTTTACTCCGCGATATAGCTGGTTGTTGTATTGCCGTCAGTGTAAACATGAAGTCACACGTACTAAATAAAATTGTGTTTAGATCTTGGCCTACATCCTTTGAGGAACGAAATTGTGATAAAAAAATTATAAGAATTGACTTTCACTTTGTGTGAGTTCATTGGAGTATGAACCTTCATAGAGTGAGGGCCAAACTCCGACGTTCATACAGTTTGGCCCTCACTCTATGATGGTTCATACTCCAATGAACTCACACAAAGTGAAGGTCAATTCTTAAATAAAAAATACTGTAATTACAAATCACTAAAAAATATGATGTGATGCTATCTCCAACGTCGTCGCAAGCCACTTATTACTTTACCTTTTCCAGATGCGAAAGTCAACGATGGTCATTTTAGTAAAGTCCATTACCTGGCTACCTTTCATTCTAACTGGTGAGTATGTCGAATGTTTGTCATTCGTTATTATTAGAGACCAGTAGAGCCAACAACAATATTAATTTTGAACTGGATACATGTATTTCTAAGCATGATACGGAATGAGAAAAAGAAATAACCAAATACATTTGTGCAGCTTCGTATTGATGATAAGATCAGGGTCCACTTGCACAAAAGAATCGTATCGCTACAATTATTGTAAATCCTTAAGATCGCGCCATTAGGCTTCGGCTACAATCGCAATCCACTTGCACAAAGCGATTGTAGGCTAAGATCATTGTAAGCTGCAATCGAACTTACAACTGGTCCTGACTAATCTTAAGTTGCTAAGATCATTATAGTCCCTGAATAAACTTGACAGAATGGCGTGCAAGACAGGAAGTGCTTCATCGCAATAATCCATTTCCATTCAAACTGTGCCTTTTTATTTTATTAAACTGTATGATTCGAAGAACGGACCACAGATCATCTTCCCGAGGCAAAAGATTTAACTGATTGTAAAAGTCCAGTTTCCCCCCTTGCCCAACTAGGCTGGTATCATGGAGTTACATGTATGCTGGACTAACGAGTCTATGCATGGTCCAATCAAAATCGCGTAAAGAAATCGAAATCTGGTTAGTAAACTGTCTTACAGATTTCGGTCGAGGATTTGCAAAGCATGTGCATCGCCAAATCGGTGTCAACAGATATTTTCCAAAAATACCTTAATTATTGATCGGATCGTCATGGCCGCGCGCCGCCATTTTGTTTGAAACAAATGCAAGTGATACGAGAGGTGGAATCTGATTGGTCCATAGGAGAGGCTTAGAAGGAACATAACTCGTAAGAGCCACTGGTGGCGCTACGATCGAGCCCAGGAATCCAGCCTGGTTCGGCAAACTGGACTTTTAAAGTCAGGTAACTCTCTTGCCTCGGCAAGATGGCCACAGATTTAACATCATGAATAACCTTAATTACGATAGTGAACCACATAACTATCGAGTTGATAGTTAAAAGTAGCATTCCCAACCATTCCCAATGCTTCAAGAAGTGCGAAACATCATGATACCTTTTCGCAAATCAAGGGAAAGATCAAAACGGAACGTGTCGGCAAGCGATTAGTAATGTCCTAGACCCTTTGGATAACAAGATCAGCTAATCTTAGTTTATACGCTAGGTGTGAGTGGTTTCCCTTTACATATGTCGTCCCCTGTAAAATTGCTGAGTTTTGGGGTCACATTCGTGTCAGTGTTTTTGTTATTAGGTTATCATCAAAATAATCTGCTATAAAGTAAATTTGAAGTGCAAAATCATACAGATTACTTCCTCATTATTAAATTTAAAATCGAGTGGGGAGAGCGGTTTCAATAAATTTATATGAATTTTAGATAAATACAAGTATTCAGGGACATACACATGATGTGTCATTTGAAACTGGGGCGGTCGGGTAGCCAAGTGGTTAAAGCGTTCGGTCGTCTCGCTGAAGACCCGAGTTCTATTCCCGACATAGGTTCAATGCGTGAACCCCATTTCTGGTATCCCCCGCCGGGATATTGCTGGAATATTGCTAAAAGCGGGGTAAAACCAAACTCACTCACTCGCTCATCTGAAACTTATGTAAAACATGTCAAAAGTAGCAAAAGTAAATGTCATCCTTTTTAAAACTAAGTACCGATAATATATACCTAGTATTATATTTTAAACAACTGCTTTCAATTAATGCATTCGTGCAGGATATATCTAGGGTTGTACGATAAGCTCCCATAAAATGACGCGAATTAAACAATGACCTTATGACAACCAGTGGCCGAAACTTGTTATTTTATAAGGAAATATTTTTACTGTTGTTTTCATAATAGGTATGTCACTAAATCTAGAGCTAAATTATGAATGTATTTATTGGAATTTCATTATATTCATAAAACATGGGTAGGTATTTCTCCAGTTGCAATATCAAACACACAATTCCTAAATCATGACAGATACAGAAGCAAATTATATCAACACAATAACAATAAAAAAAAATGTAAGTGATCATATATACAGTGATTTGACAATTTAATGCTACAATTACAATAACAAAACGTTGTAATCGTCGCATTTCTTACAAAAGAACTGCAAACGATACCCGTATCCGAACCGAGCTTAGTTTTAATGGTAAACACGTGGTGGACATTTCCATATTTGATGCATCAGTAACCAAATTTATATGTCTCAATTCCTTATTTTAACATAGGCTTTATCAGGCGAATAGGTCACTTGCCTTTATGTGAGTTTGTTACGGGTGCCACCAGTCGGACATGAATACACATATATTATGATGTTGATGAATGAATTTCGCATTATTTACAAATGTTCCTCCACAAATAATTGATGACAATTTGTCTTTCTGCAGTATCAGGAGTAATTTGCGACAACCCTTGTGATCCGGGATTGTACGGAAAACGTTGTGACAAGCGTTGCAATGACAACTGCCGCTCTGATATGAATAGGAATATCTATTGTGAGAAACACTCTGGAATATGCCTACTGGGTTGTGCTCCTGGATGGTATAATGACAAATGCACTATCCCGTGTAGCAAAAATTGCATTGGTGGTGTGTGTTACCAAAATGGACAGTGCACATACGGTTGCAAAGGAAACTATGGAGGGGCTTTGTGTCACGAACCTAAAGGTATATACGATTAAGCGACATGTACATGCGTTCAGTTTTGGTTAATTCACACTACATTCTTCTATCCTTCTTCTTCTTCTAATGATTATCATTTACACATTAAAATATAAAATGCAGCAAAGAGGGTATGGGTGATCCTGGCACAATCAGCTCAGGGCCCTTGCCCCCTCTACACGCAGCCCAGACAGGGAATGGGACTTCTATAAGGAAGCGCCGCCTAGTCAAATCTAACCCGGAACGTTTCAGAGAATGTGAAGACTCCCTAACACTGCCTTCTGCATTACCCAGATTGTAAACCACCCGAGTATCACGTGCATGTGTCGGTTTTACTTTCTATTTTGTCCTTTTCTACAAAAAGAACCTCAAAACTGGATGTATTATCATATTTCTGATTTGTTAAAACAAAATCATTCTCACAATTCCACCTTGAAGGCAAATTTAAAATCAATATCGATTTCACCATACTATCACTACTATTCACAAAATATTCCAAACGTTATCTGTGAAAGAAACATTGTGAGCATGTGTTTTATATCTTACTGTCCATTTACCATCCTACTTCAAGTCTGGATTTCACAGTGAAGAGAACTAAATACACTACGTCTAACGTATTGTGGGGTATTCTTTATAACTCTATGGTGTTTCAATCTGTTAGTGTATCCCCCACATGTGCCAGATGAAAACAATGGACACATCATTTTGATCGTCATCGGCGTTGTTCTGTGCATCCTCGTTGTAGGCGCTGCAATCATCAAATTCGCGAGGTAAGTTCTCATTCGAGTCTATTTCATAGTGCACTGACCTTGATTCTGAAAATCATTTATGCCAATAGTATTACCGAATTCCGACAAAGGTTTATACATGTAATACCACATCTTGACATATTTAAAGTTGCAAACCTTGTTCACTTTGTGTAAAAGTGAGAGTGACAAAAAAAGAATCAAGCATATATATGGATACGCGTTTCATGTCATATATGACAGTACATGAGTTTAGGTCGTTGCATCTTGAATTATTCCCTTTGCAGGCCGAGACTCAGCGGACATTGGTAAGGAAACCTGAAATTTGCATACGCTTATCTCTTTCATATTATTCCATGCCTGCCATACATTGACACCACAGCTTACGCTCTACATATACTACCCGAGGGGATTCCGGGTTGTGGTAATATAAGTGCCCAACAACCAACATGCTGGCCGTAAAAGGAGACCAAATGTAACGTTCAAATCAAACGGTAGATCCCAGTAGCTTTATGTCATTTCAATGTGAACTGGAGGAAAAGAGAAATTGACACCAAATTTACAATCCCTCTTACACTGTTCTACATCTCTAATGGCGAAAGAATTAGAGAATAAGAGTATTTATTTCATATGTTATTATTTAAGAAACAACAAAGTTCAGCCCACTTATACATTATTTTGTTTTAAATTACAGTGGATGAAAAATATTTTCCGAAGCCAAATTAGTATTAATTTATATAGAATAATCGACTTCCTGTTTTACAACAATACCACTAATCATCATTCAGGACTCGGCTTGAGCTAGCACACATGCATATTTGTAAATTATTTATTCTTTACTGGTTTACATAATGAATATCTTATCGCTTTTCCGACATTTTCATTTCAACAATGCTATAACGTTTTAATCACTTTCAATGGATATATATACGAACGTACGGATGTCCTTAGCAACTTGACCTTTCTCGGAATAGAACAGTGTATATGGAAAACTATGTATTATATTGTTTACCATTTTTGTACAATCTATGTCAAGTTATTATACGTTACTCAGACAACGCCGACAGTGTCATCAAGTAGGGCAGCAATGATTATTTTTTAATTGGACATTTATTATGTTTTGATCATGTGTATTACGGATGTGTGTAACTATCAATTTAAAGTCTCATTTTTATCTTGTATTTTTTTTCAGCAATACCAACTCTGGTAAGTAATCAGTTATGGTTGGATTGTTAACGAACTGGCATACGTCTCCTACACCTCAATTCGTGACGTGAAAACTGAATAAATTTAGATTAAGTGAGACTATGACTAAAAACGATGTAGGACTATGATGTACCTAAAAACTCATGACCAGATTGACGGTAGAAATAGTAAATGTGGCAGATTCATAAACATGCGTTCGTTTATTAATTATGTTATGTTTATATATTATGGTCCTTTAATTTGATCTTGGAAAAGCTAAATCTCAAACAACATTTAAAACGATATCATGCACATGATAAAGAATCAGTTCAGCACGTCTCTGCTTTTCAGGCCAAAGTTCACAATAATATAAAACAACTAATGCATTGAGTTCAGGAAATGAACTATATACGAAAACAATATAACATACAGGTCTGAAACGTTCAGAAGTTGCTCCAAATGTATACACATTTTCACAACACATATTAAACAGCATATTCTCCGGAAATGAATCCAATCTACAAAGTACAACCTACTACCTCAGGAGATGCAATGCATACAAACCAAAACAAATCTTAAAATAAGACCGCAATGTGTGTATACACGTTTTACGTTTTACGTCATACCACAGAAGCGAACCCTAAATATTTTCACCAACCAGAAATCTTCTAGTAAATGCCGGTTCTTCCGAAACAATGGATATCCTCGATGATAGGTATTTGAGACAATGTCGAAAAAAACAGTCAAGAGAGGGTCAAAGAATGTTCCCAAACGGCATGTCAGGTTAGAGAGGAATAAAGTGATGGCAATCTTTACAATCCTGCACAGCGAATTGTGGCGCCTCTGATATCACACATTACGGATAAATGTGTGGAAATGTATCTTTATATTCTCAGGGGAATCTGACGCTGATGCAGATGAAGAGGAGGCCATGAGTTTTGACGGAAGTTTACGTGAGTAATTCTCTGGCCCTGCCATTGCTTTTTCAATTTGTGATCATTGATATCGTATTGGATACGTTCTTTATCTAATATTTAAGTAATGTAATGACGAAATAATTTGTGCGCCGTGAAGACCGTGTGTTAAAACAATTAATCCACGTAGTGCACTCAAGCCTCTGTATGTTTGTCGTTTAAACACTATTCCAGCTACATGGCGACTGTCTGTAATAATCGAGTCTGGACCAGACAATTTTGTCATAATACTCATGATGACCCTTAGGCAACGATCTACGCGTTTGGGCTGAGATGACATATTAAATCACATGTGTTTGTGAACTTGACAGATCCAAGAATGTAATGCGAATGTAATTTCTTGTAAAGTATAGTGACAAACCAGTTAAGCTCACCTGACTGAAAGTCAAGTTAGCTTATGCCGTGGGCTGTTACAATGATAACCCATGAAATTTCTTCAATATGGCAATTGAGGGTGTATATTAGAAAATGTGCCAATTAGGAGATAAAACATACTGTGTTTTCAATGTAGAGCTATGTTACCTGCAAATTTAACCGCGCTAACTTGAATTTGGAACCGAAAGCGCGGCGTGAGTTTTCAAATGTTAAATTTAGCGCGGTTAAATCTATTAGTAACCTAGCTCTACATTGAAAACACAGTATGTTTATCTCCATTCTACCATGACTAAAGAAAACGCGAACTCTTTGGTTAGCAAATATACTGAGTGAAGCGGCATGGGTTGAGTCCAGTGTTTTGAGTGGGTTGTCGATCTGAATTACGGAATCACCGAACAAAATATGGCGCTGTTTATACTCAAGCAGTTTGTTTACACCGTAATACTTCACTCAAACATACGACAGGCATTGAAAGCATATAAGCACGGCAACTTGGTAAGCTTACATGAGGTGGGTATGCTTAAAGAAAACAAAGCAAGTTTTGCAAGGCTTTCGCTCGCCAACGCGTGTCACCATTATGACGTCATATCGCTCATTGTGACGCAAAAGATATGACGTCACTGTCGTATACAGAAAAGCGCCAAACTTCCAAGCTCGCTGTTGTCTCCAAAACGTAAATACATTGCCTTTGTAGATTTCTATCGTGTTTTCTGCGTGAAATGTATTACCACACATCCTTCGCATTTTGTAGTAACCGCATCTGTGCATTTTGTAACCTGTAATTGTAGATATAATTATTTAAATATGCCTACCGACGATGAAAATAGTATTATTCTATGAATATAACCCCTCCGCGGTGATGCGGCCGTCAAACCAGCTGTTTCAATCAGAGGGGGTTTGTTGTGATTTAATAGCCTCTGATTGACCAATCAGAACCGAGTAAATTCCAAATTCATGGTAGAATGACCATTACACGCCATTTGTCTTCAATATGTAATGAAGTCAGGTACACATGTTGTCGGTAGTTTTTTTTGAGATATATACATACATTACATTTCTCAAAATGCCGTCCGCGCTCCGAAGACGATCATCACTTCTCAAACGACTGAAGTTCTTTCCAAAAATGATGACACCTGCATTTTCAAGGGGATACTCTGCTATTGGTGTTCAAAATGGAATTATATTTGTAAACATCCGTGACAAAAATAATGTACAATACAATTTCCTTCTGTGACTTGTACCAACAATAGACTTGCCTCGCATGTGTTTGTTTGTTGTATTTACATCCTCTCAAACTGTGTTTTTAACTCTAAACAAATTTTCTCCATGTATGTTTTGTCTTTTGATGGCTAGATTTTGGTTCAAACCATTAGAATTAAGTATGTATACAGAAATTGATTTATATCAATGTTGAAAGCCACTGTTGAGAACAGTTATTTTTTTACTGTTATCCAGGTGAGCCGCAGTGTCGAGGCACAATTGTTTTTACACTAAATACAAAGACTTCATTTCGTGGGAGTTAACCGAAGGAACATACATATTTGTTTCATATTGCCTGTCGTATACTACAGACTTGTATTTACCTAAGTCCTATTTATGTTTAAATAAGCGAAATGTAAATGTACTTTTCACTGTACAAAGGATGTTTCTCTCCTTTAAGGCTATTAGGGTATTATTTCAGTTGGTTGGTCAACCATTTTAGTTTTGCAACTTGCGCTGATTCGATTGTAAGTATAGAAAATAATAATAATAATATTAACCAGATATATATGAAAATATTTTAATGCAGAAACACAACTATTCACAATCCACGATTCAAGCTACCGGAGAGACTTGGATGTGTGAAAAGCATCTTGTCAAAGGGACAGAGGAACATATAAACTCTGTGTACATATTGGAGGGCACCGGTAATGTGGTCAAAACTTCAGAAAGAGAAAGAAGTGTTTGATTTTCTTGTGAAAGACAACGCCGACTTGTCAATGACAGACGAGTGTGGAAACAACATACTCCATGCAGCCTGCCATGGATATTGTTCGGTATCTTCTCTCACGTAGCTTAGTGGACATCAACTGTAAAGACAGATACGGTCGGACAGCAGTGATGATGGCAGCACACGGGGGATCCAGTGATTTGTTTGGTTTACTTTTTACTAATGGAGCTGATCTTGCCTTAGCCGATAGCGCTGATGACACTGTTCTCCATCTTGCCTCTCATGGAGGTGAAATTGGATTAGTGGAGGATGTACTCTTGCACAATATTGTGAACATTGACGCGAGGAACAAGGATGGAAAAACAGCAACCATGGTTTCAAAAGACAATGGTCAGATGTTAATGTATGATCTTCTTGGGACGCGTGGCTGTCCCGAGAATTAATGTTATTAGTATTTTCAATATTCAATAAAATGCTAACATGTCACATTACTGTCAACTAATTGTATCAATAGACGACAACATAAAAGATCAAAAACCAAATGTACATTGACAATGATCACTGATTAATTATATCCGATCAAATACACAAGCAGATTAGCTGAACAGCTTTAATAAATTAAACATCTTTCATCAAATGCATTCTATTTTCTTTCATTAAGTTTTAAAATAAGGTCATAACTTTCATTTTTAAGGTATGCTGTATATCATGTAATTATATGTTCAAGCAAATATTAGGGAGGTTGTGTTGTCAAAATGTGAACTCTATTTCTGGTGTTTCTTGTTTTGTTTGAATATTAGCTTAAGAAACGGAGAAAAGATGCTTTCTCACACACTCACACATGTAATTCACACGTATCTACATGTTTGTACAAAGACGTCTGTTGATATACTGTACGTGGTAAAGCATGTCGGTTGGTTGGTTCGTTGTTTAACGCCGCACTCAGCAATGTAACAGCTATATGACGGCTGTCTAAATAATCGAGTCTGGACCAGACAATCCAGTGATTCATATCATGAGCATCGATCCACGCAATTGGGATCGATGACATGCATCAACCAAGTCAGCGAGACTGACCACCCGATCCCGTTAGTCGCCTTTTACGACACGCATGGATTGCTGAAGACCTTTTCTACACCGGAATTTCCACGGGTCGTAAAGCATGTAAAAACTGCTTGGTCATATTGGATGATTAGGAATTATTATTCACTGCATTCATACCTACGATGGTTTAATTATGCCGATGATTACTATTATAATAAGTGTAACATTTATTGAATAAAAATGCTATGCCAGTAAGGCCACAAATAAAACTGTTTTTGTATTTATCACATAATGCTAGCAAGAATGACGTTTTACTTAGTAACTACTTAAACCTGCAACTAAAGGTAGGGTAGTACCGCACATTCTTACCTGAAGCAGGTTGGTCCAAGCCTCGCTGCCACACTGTAAGCAGGCTGTGATACTCCCGTTGGGGGTACAATTAGAATCCCACATTGCCTATGCCATGTGACGCTAGTGTGAGGGGCGAAGCCTCATACATACATCATTAATATGCAGAAAACAGAGGTTAACTTACGTGTATGTCAAGAGGAACATTATCATCTTCAACCTAAAGGAAAATATGACTTTGCAATTTCTACTGATATAAACTCATTGACATTTCATATTATCACAGCGTAATCAGTGTACATGATCACCTTTTTATGACACTAATCACAAATTAGCGTGATCATCAAAGAAACGTTCCATCCATATCAGGCACAACACATCACAAAATCCAAATGTCTTCCTCTTGTGGACAGGGTACCCCAATTGTGCCATCTGATTCTTGACAGTTTCAGTCGACGTGATGTGATCGATCTGCCAACGTTCTCATTCTAGTCAAGGATTGCAATTTGAAACTCTCATTCTATAACTATGTTCTCCAAATTAGACCCTTTCTTCCACATACTGGAGCATAGTATTATTAAAAGACTCCACCTAATGTCCTGTGTCCTTACATAATGCATTGGGAGGGTATGAAGATATCACAAGACAGATTGTGCCGGATCTTTATTTGCGACCTGTTTCCGTCATACTTTGTTTTCATTGCCTCCCTTGCTGTAATACTGGATTGATGGTCTTTTGGTCTTTTGTTTCTTGGTGAGGTGAGGTGAGGTGAAATTGGGTTTAACGTCGCGTCCAAGATTATTGCACTTATATAGCGACGTGCATGCACGTGTATGTGTGTGTGGCTGCTTGTACTAGTCCGGACTGATGCCGATTTATAGTGCTAGCTCACTGAGATACCATGCCGCAGTTTAACATGAATACCCCACTCAGACACAGTATACTGACTCCGAGCCGACCAGTCCTTGTTTTAGCCCCTTAATGCCGAGCGCCAGACAGGGTAACAACAAGTACAATCTTTTAACGTCTTTTTGTATGACGCGGCCCGGGATCGAACCCTGGACCTTCCGCTCTCCGGGCGGACGCTCTACCACAAGACCACGGAGGCGGTCTTGTTTCTTGGATTTAGTTGACGATTAATGTCCTTAATGCATGCGTCATCAAATGGTGAACCAGTTGAAGAACTATTTGTTTAATTCTTTTCAGTGTTATTCTCATGCATCAAAGATGCCGTTTTAAAAGGAAACTTCAGTATACGTGGCACTTTTGAGTATTGAGTATGAGGGTGTTTGGGAAAAGTGTAACACAATGTTGGTGAAATAAGCCTGACAGATTTTTGATAATTCATTTACTATTGACAAGCAGATGATTAAAAAATTGATATGGGTACGGAGAATCGTTATTTAGGTCGTGAACTGTATACATTATCGCAGGAAATGCCAGTGACCATAATCACTGTATCAGTTTGACAAAGGATGCTTATACATATGAATCAGCTAGCTCAATTTCCATCTCATTCTTGAGGTTTCATTCTGTTGAGCATTTTACAAAGAAAAGATGGAAACAAAAACTAGTTACTTTTCACCTCACTTAGGAACAAGAGGAAGCAATAAAAGGGTTCTTTGTGCATTTTAACTTGGACCTTGACATTGTGCATGAAGAATGTGAAAAGGGTCAACAACACACAAACTACACAATGCTGAAATAAAGACAGCCGCTGCAGATGTTTGTGGTAGCATTGACAACACTGATAACATTGAGGCACAGCTAATTCTTGGCCAATGTCTTCATAGTTTCTGCATGTCGTGTGTCACCGGAAATACGCAGGCCCAAACTTATTAAAACAGCCCCCTGGGGAAGTCGAAGTACAAGAAGTTTGGGAAAAAGCTGAATGGCAGATTTATCACAGCTTGAAAAAAACTGTGTTGGTTATTAACCAAGGATTGCATGCTTTATCACACTGTCACCAACTACATCTGTGACAAAGATGTGCGTCCAGATTGGTTTATTAAACAAGCTACCAGCTTACCTATGTCCCAAGTGGAGAAGTGGCTGATTTGAAACTGCCACTCCATATTGGTGAGGTCTCGTGAAATCTCGCTATTTGTAGTGCAGTTGCAGGTTTAAGTAATTAACAACTAAAATGTTCTTTGAACATGCGACGTTAACATTATCACACTCGTCACTCAAACATAACATGGGTGGATGCACATTCACTGATTATGGACTAGGGTGAGCCAAATCCAAGCAAGTTCTTATTGATAAACACATAAACACTAGATAATCATCAAAGTTGTAAGCAGGCGTATTTTTTTAGCATGTTGGTATAATTATCTTGGCTTGTGTCCCTGCCGACTCTTCATGACTCCTTATGTATGTTTGTTTGATTGATTGTTGTTTCATGCCGAACTCAGCAATATTCCAGCTGTATGACGGTGGTCTGAAATCAAATCGAGTCTGGACCAGACATTTCAAGAATTGTCATCATGAGCATCGATCCACGCAAATGGGATACGATGACACTAAAATCTGAGGCAAAACTCTCCTTAAAATGACGGTTTTATGGTGTTGGCCCACTGAGATACAATGCCGGAGTTTAACATGGATACCAAAACAGACCAAGTTATTTGAAGCCGAATAGCCCCTTTTTAGCACTAAGTACCGAGCTGCAGGCAGGGGAACAACAAGTTGCAACTTTCAACTTCTGTAGTATGACGCGGCCGGGAATCGAACTCCAAACTGCAGCAGAGTGGTATGCCAACTAATAGTCCGAATTGCTATCCTTCCTGACAGCACTTGACAATGCAATATCGCAGGTGTCGACAGCATTAACTGCATTTCATCAGAAGATTGGAGATTAAGAGTTTCAAGCAGTCTGGTACATTATGGTCGTCCAATCAACATGATATGGTGAGCAATTGGTCAGAACCAGTGCCATAGGATCCATTATCGACCAGAATGTATGCCCAGAGAGTTACAAGTGTGTTAATCTTCACCGATACATCATCTAATGTGAATAGTGAATGTTTTAGTCAACGGCGGTCTGTAAACAATCGCGTCCGGGCCAGAAAATCCAATGAATGACATCATGAGCATCGATCCACGCAATTGGGATCCCGTTAGTCGCCTGGCTACCCGATCCCGTTAGTCGCCTCTTACGACAAGCTCAGTCGCCTTATACGGCAAGAACGGGTTGCTGAAGACCTATTCTACCCCGGATCTTCACGGATCTCCTCGTTTTAGCCTATTTCGGAATCGACGCGAGGTCTACAGTTTAGGTTATCCATGGCATTTATACATGGCGATTATAATGTGTTTTGGGGTCCAATAGACTATGTCATGCGGGCAAGCTTAACTTATCTAACTAATACAGATATCAGTTAAAACACCGAAAACATTTTCCAATCAGTTACTTTGACGATAGAGTGAGTGAGTTAGGATTTATAGTCACATCGGCAATATTTCAGCCATATCGTGACTAAATCAAGTTGTACATTATTAATTCATAAATATAGACATTAAAATCTGTCGACAAAGAACAATAAAATTATTGGAATATCACAGAGTAATATGTAAAACTAGTCAACAACTATTAAAAGATATTACTATAAATTACGGCACAATATAAAAATGGGCTATAGATCGCCAGCAGCTGAAGGAAGATCACCATGCTAGGGTCCATGGGGACTTTCCTTTGACGATAGACCAATTTGAAGCGCCAGAGGGATTCGTAAACGCGATGTCTGCAGTGAAGGCGAACGAATGTAGTCTTCTGCCACGGCGATTAAATTAAAAGCTAATTATTAAGTGACATCAGGACTAATAGCTTATTCGTTTCTGAACGGTGAAATATTTTTTTTATGCAGTACGTTTTATGCTAGTCTCTGCATTGTACTTGTTTGGTAGATCAACTATAACAAGGATTATTCTTGTATGTCGCGTCTGCAGCTGTAGACGAATAGAGATGGTCAGCTGTTATTGATATTCTTGTAACTGGCAAGGTGGCTTTCGCAGTGAATTCGAATGTCAGTACACAGTCATGTCTTTCTGCACGATCGCAGTGTTCAGGTCTTTTGATGTGCATTCTTACTTGTCGGATAGACGTCGTTTTTGAATCGTTAAAATGCCACCTTTTGAAAGGCAGTAGTTATTCCCTACCGATTTGTTTTTCAGTCAAGTTGTGTCCCACGCCCGACGATGACACAAGCATTATTTGTGTTAACTAAGGAAAACATATGAA